ATGAAATGTGAGGTAATATACATGTTAATTAGTTTGACAGGAGGAATAAGTTCAAGAGTTCTACTGTACAATATGGTTACTACAGTTAATAATGTATACTTGAAAATTTTTTTCTATATGCGTGGGTGTGTGTGTGTGTTTGTGTCTATACTTGAATATCAGTAAGAGTAGATTTTAAGTGTTCTCACTACAAAAAATGATATGTGAGGTAATATACATGTTAATTAGTTTGATTGAGCCAGTTCACAATGCATACATATTTAAAAACATCATGCTGTACACAATAAATATATATAGTTTTTACTTGTCAATGTAAAACAATAAAATATATTTTTTAAAGAAGAAAAATTAATTATACACTCTTGGCCAAAAAGACAAGAAGAGAACAATTTTAATGGCATAAAAACCTTTGCCTCTACAAGTGTGGCCAGGGCCACATTCACATCACCTGGTTAGAAATGTAGACTATCAGGCCCCACCCCAGACCTCCTGAATCCAGATTTACTTTTTATCGAGATTCCCCCATGATTCGTACACACAATGAGGTCTGGCCTAAATGACATATCTCACCATTCCACTCCACAGGCATATGTCCCAGAGTGAGCACGAGATGGGTGACGCTGATCTGCAATTCCCTCAGTGAGTCTCAGTTCTCACGCACGTTACACCTCACTGAGTGGGAGTCTGGTGTGTAAATGGTAATTTGGCCTGTACACCTAAAATATGACTTCACTGTTCTGTCCCCGAGCTGACCCTCAGCTAGCGACCTAACAATTGGCTTGATTTAACCAAGAGTTCACATCTTTGCATTAAAACTGTGAGAACATTAACAGCACAGGCAAGCTCAATAAAAGCTGAGCACAAAGCTGTCAGCCTCTAGCATGCTGCCACAGGTCAGCCGTAACTCAGACTGCAGGAGAAGAGAGCTCTTGAGTAGACGGTCACAGAAAGATACACACCAAGTGGTGATGTGGAACACCACCCTTTAAGGTCAAGGTTGCTTTCCTTCAAGTAAATTTCCTAACCAATTCATTGATTCTGTAAAGCAAATTTCTGTTACCCAGTACCTTCCTATACTTCAATCACACATTTAGGAAAATCTTGAACATCTGTTAATGACAGCTTACCTGTGCACACCTTCCTAGTTCTTTCCTGTCCAGATACTGAAATATATTGATTGCCAATTCATAAGGCAGTTGGATATCAAAGAAGGGCACATCATCCATTTCATTCTGAGGAGAAAAAAAGAAAGGAAATAAGTTTATGATTCTGAGATACGAAAATAATTCGTATTTACAGGCCCCGTAAATGACCAGGGATATTCTTAGATGGTGACAAGGGAGATGAAGCTGTTTCCCAGGAAAAAAGTGGTCTCACTTTTTCATGGAGTAATCATGGAACTAATTCAGAACTTGCCAGCCACTCTCAATTCTCTAACCCCCAAACCACCCCTCCTCACATTCACTTATGAAATCCACATGACTGTTTCCCATAATGCTTCAAAAGGAGAAGCAGGGGTGCTATCTTACATCCTGGGGTACACCACAGGAATCAGTGCAAAGGTTTGTGGGAAGCCTCCTGCCTTCTATGGAAAGGTGAGCAGCAGGTGGCCAAGAAAGTGAGCCTTGAAATCAAAGAGGCCACCTCTCCTCCCAGGAAAACCACTATACTCCCAACTTGGAAGGAGTGAGCACCCACAGCTGGAGAAATGCTGCCCGAGGTCACTAAAAGGTTTTCATCAGGAAAAGAATAGGGCTGTGACCATGAGCAAAAAGTAAATAAATGGAACGCTGCTCTTGATTGAGATGGCGAACACCATCTCTCCTTGGCCCTGGAGAAGAACAAGGTTTCCCAATGCTCTCAGGGGCTTAGGCTGGTTAACCTGAGTGAGCCAGTGCAAACAAAGCAGTTCTTCTTTGGTGTCATTTATTAATGCAGAGAAATTAGAGCTCGCCTGCCTTTGGATAAGCAATTAGAGATGAGGTAACAGGCTTTACTTGAGAGATAAGGCTGTCATGACGATCCTGGTAGCACAAAGAAATATGAGTGTGAAACAGAAAAAAGGCAAGTGTGCATACGTACCTCTCTGCCTGTTCCCAAATCCACCTGCCAAGGCTCACTTTGGTATGTGCTGCTGCAAAGCTAGGGAAAGCTGCATTCTTTGTCCCAATAGAACTTGCTTAATAAAATTCATTTTTAATAAGCTTTGACTGACATCAATGACTTATTGGTTTCAAAAAAATTGTTATTCACCACTCAAACACAACAGTCTTATGTATCGCAAGGCTGTAGTCTCAAACTAGAAAACAGTCTCAGCATTTTTAAGGGAATATGAGCACTGATTTAGACCCTATCAAGACTCAGGGTAACCAGAATCTATTTAGAACTCAGAAAAATCAGCAAGAAAAAATCAAACAGCCCTATCAAAAAGTGGGCAAAGGATATGAACAGAAACTTTGCAAAAGAAGACAGAATAATGGCCAAAAAACATATGAAAAAATGCTCAACATCTCTAATGATCAGGCAAATGCAAATCAAAACCACAATGAGATATCACCTATCTCCAGTGAGACTGGCCTTTATCAAAAAGACCCAAAACAATAAATGTTGGCGTGGATGCGGAGAGGTAGGAACACTCATACACTGCTGGTGGGACTGCAAATTAGTGCAACCTCTGCGGAAAGCAATATGGAGATACCTTAAAGAGATACAAGTAGAACTACCATTTGACCCAGCAATCCCATTACTGGGCATCTACCCAAAAGAGCAAAAGTGGCTCTATGAAAAAGACACCTGCACTCGAATGTTCATAGCAGCACAATTCACAATTGCAAAGATGTGGAAACAACCCAAGTGTCCATCGATACATGAGTGGATTAATAAACTGTGGTATATGTATACCATGGAGTACTATTCAGCTTTAAGAAACAATGGTGATATAGCACCTCTTATATACTCCTGGAAAGCGCTGGAACACATTCTACTAAGTGAGGTATCCCAAGAATGGAAAAACAAGCACCACATGTACTCACCATCAAACTGGTATTAGCTGATCAACATTTAAGTGCACATATAAGAATAACATGTATTAGATGTCGGGCATGGAGAGGGAGGAGGGGACAGGCATATGCACAAACAATGAGTGGGATGCGCACCTCCGGGGGAATGGACACACTTGAAGCTTGGACTTGGGGGGGAGGGAGGGTAAGGGCATCATACGTAACCTAATCATCTGTACCCCCATAACATGCTGAAATAAAAAAAAAAAGGAAAAAAAAGACTCAGGCTAAAGATTTTTCTGGAATCATGCTTCTATTCATCTAGGCATCTCAGGATTAAAAATTAATCCAGAGCATAAGAAGGAAATGTGGTATTCAACTACGAAAACAGTGCAAAGTTAAATAGGAAGGCCAAAAAGGATCTCTAGAGGAAAAGAGAAAAAGAGCTGACAGCTCTCTGTGGGCAAAGAAGGAACAGAATGTTAAATCAGGAGAGAAATGTTGGCCATAAAGAAAAAAACAGGAAAAAAAAATCTGCAAGTTCAATTAGAAGACACAGGGTCCGTGCCTAAAAAAACAATGGAGAGTCATTGGTCTAATGTCAGGCTAGGTCTCCTCACACAACTAACTGGCTTCACTCATCAAGAAAAAGAGGCATCACTTTCTCTCTCAATCCAGATACAACTTGAGACTCCTCAACACAACACTGGAGGGAGTCACTGCCTGTCAAGGAAAGCTGCACACAAGGCAAGATGTTCATCTGCAAAACTGAACTTCCTACTGCTTTCTCTGTGGGATTATTTTGATTTCGTGAAATGGAGAGATTGGCCTACTTTACCTACTCGGTAAAGAAACAAGAGAATAATGTTCCTTATCCTCATACAACTAGAACAAAGTCAAAGAAAAGCCTGCACTCACTGAAACTGAAGTTTCATTTAGCTTTTCACTGTTAGAGACTTGCCAGGCATTGCTTTCTTCAATTGGTCCCATTCAGGACTCCATATGAACTGGTTTCTGAACTTGACACAACTCTGATGAGGCACGAGACAGCATCTGCTTTGTTTTTAGTTATTCTGGTGCAGAAAAGTCACACTTCTAGTCGCAGGAGCCTTCCAGCTTTTGCCTGTTCAGTTGGCCTATTCTCCATCCTCACCCTGGAAGATAATAATGGCTCTGTCTTAGCATAACCCCAGCCCTGCCACCGTATCTTGATCCCAACCACCACAATCTCTGAGATACAGCACAGCACAGTTCAAACTGATTGAGAGCAAAGATTGAAACTGATAAACCTGTTCTGCCACCTTACCAGCCAAGCGACTGGGCTAAACGCATTCTGGGGTTCCTCATCTGTAAAACAGACAAATGCTATTAAGAATAAAATGAGACTCCACACTGGATCACTGTTAATTAATGCACGTACTGTGATGGTTCTTGACTATTTGAAAGTTCTGGAAGGTAACCACTGTTTCAAAGCACTGAATTGTAATTATGTAAATGCCAACATTACACAGCCAACCTTTTTTTTCCCCCCCAATCATTGTGCTCTTACAATTATGATCTAAAATCCAAAACAGAACAAGTCCCAGATTTCCATGTAAATGACCTTCCCTGTTGCTAACCACTGGCTGGGAAATGGCAGAGGGAAAAAAAAAGAAACCAATATACTAAAAGAAGATCCACATCTTAAGAAAGATGTAGACTCATGAGGTCAGGAGACCAAATGCTGACATTTCATGCTGCACACTTGGAATAATTTTGGCAAGACATTCTATCAATGGCTCTTGTAGTGGATGCTGTAGCAGGTCACTCGGATCCCCACTTTAGGTCCCAGACACTGATGCCCCTGGATGAAAATGCTGCATGCTATTGACTCATAGCTGAGTCCCTTCCTAGGCATTGCCTTTGGCCAAACAAGCTGCTTTGTCCAAGTTACATCCCCTCCCCGTGGGCAGCCTACACTCAATGCCTAGTCAATGACTGGGCACAAAGGCCTGGCCCCCCTGCCTCAATTCGGGACCTCTCTGAAAGGCTGACCCACTAAAGCACCTACATGCAAATCTCCATCTCAGAGTCTGTTTTGTGCAAAGTCCAACCTTTTTACCAAAACCACAGATGTGACCCATGATAGTCCTGTGTTCAATACATTCCCAAGGGTTCCTATGCACAACACCAGAGACATTAGTCTAGATAGCCTACTTCCCTCTGAAGGAGGCATACTGGAATGCAGGTAATTGAGAGTGATGTTATTACACAGACAGACAGACAGACAGCCAGCCAGCCAACCAGCCAGCCAGCCAACAAAATAGAGTAAATTCAAGGATAAGTAAATGATTCATAAACTTCAGTTTGTTATTAGTAACATATCATTTGGGAAACACCTTATAAAAGACAGAGTTACGAACATGTTTGAAAACATAACTTTTTTATATAGGTAGGCATGATTTCACAAGAATATGAAACCACATCCTGGACAAAGGCTGTAGCCTGGTAACCACATAAATCCTAATACTGTAGCAGCAGCAGAATGTCTTAAGCACTCTGATCTGGTACTTCCCACAGTTCACAAATGCAGGTAAAAAACACTACTTGCTACTAGTGTGCAGAGAAATACCTTGTTTCTAACAGATGTTCCCAATACACATAAAAAATGTTTGAGGTGATGGATATGCTAATTACCCTGATTTGATCATTACACATTGTATACATTTATTGAAATGTCACACTGTACCCCATAAATAAGTACAATTATAATACCGCAATTAAAAATAATAAAAATAGATAAAAGATGCTATCAGACTTCAGCCACCTAGACTGTTGTAAAGCACACAGCCATCCAAAGTTATGGGCCACATTAATCTGACTCTATATTGACTTAAAAACACGAAAATGGATAACTTGGCATTTCAGAAATAAATATATTTCAAGAAGGAAGAAATTAAAGGCATTGGAAATATTAATATAGGGAAACTCGGTCACACTATAAAAATATCAGTGTCACTACAATGTTTAGAGAGAATAATTTTATAGCAATTTAACGGCACCCAGCAATGTGAGACCAGACAAATTTACTCTACAGAAGACCAGTAAATTCAAAGTATTAACATTCCTTCAAATTTAAAGAAAAGTATCTTTTTCATAACATACAACCTGGCTTTTAATTCCTTGACAATGACTCAGATAATGATTCTCTATCAGTATTGGTGACTCTTGTCCTGTGTTAAACATCAAAATCA